TCCTTCACAGCTTAAAGGAACAGCGACAATGTCACGAAGTTCGACAGTAAGTAAAATAAGCATAAATAAGCTCAGATGAGTTAAGATTATAGCAATTTAAATAACGGAAGAAGAGCAAGAATTTTGGAAATATCACAGGCAGGAAACAAAGTGATAAGACTGAATAAAATGGGATAAACTACAATAATAAAGGATACGGTTGAGATGAGTGGAAATAATAAATATAGGAAAAGATGAGAGGAAAGATCAGGTGAGATAAAATAAATTACAGTGAGATAATCGAGCAGAGGGGTAAGATGAGGAGATAGGACGAAACAAATTGAGGTGAGATAAGATAAACTGTAAGAAGAATGGGGATTAGAATATTTAACATCAAGATTGATTGGAAATAAGAAAGGGAAATGAGCTGAGAAAATTAGAAATAACATACAGAGAAGACATTAGAGGTGATAAAGTAGAAGATAAGATAAAATAAATTTAGAGATGAGTGGAGAGGTTACATTAGATACAATTAGGAAATATTACTAAAAAGGAAATAAAAACGAATAAGAATAAAAGACAAAAGAGAAGATGAGACATGGTATCGGTACAGGAGATAAGGTATGACAGGAGGATGTAAAAGAAAAGGTGAAATTATATAAAATATTGAGTTAAAAAGGAAGGAGGTGAGCTGAGATCATATGGGAGAAAATAAGAGTATAGGAAATAAACTATCAAGAGACACTGTGTCAAACCTGCATCTTAAAGAACGCTAAGTCCAACATGGACTTGCTATTGTTGCACCACATTATCAAACATGAAAGTGATCCAAATGATCCAACATGATGTGTCAACAGACAATATAGATTAAACTTTCCTCTTAAGAGCTGTGATTCTATTCTTAATGTAGAATTTAATAGATAACCAATTTCTGTTTTTAAGTGCTACTTTTTCCTGTTCAAGGCACTTATCGCAGTCGCTTTTCCCAGGAACACGACATTTGATGATGAAGGACATCATGTGCTTCTCAATGGCAAGGATCTCCTCGTTCTCCCACATCCTTTTCTTGGCAGGCTGACGAGCTGTAAAATAGTTAAGACACATTACATTTCTGTGTTTCTATATGGACAAGCTATTGAAATCAATAAACAGTTAAAGTCAACCATCATGAGCAGACCAAGCTTAAGACTGTGGAGATAACAGTGGACTTAAGGAGAAGCCACACTCCATCCCCTCACCATACACAACAGCACTATGTCCACAATGGACACTTTCAAGTTCCTAGGACCACAATCTCCCGGGACCTGAAGTGGACCGCTCACATAGACACTATCCAGAAAAAGGCCCAGCAGAGGATGTATTTCCTGTGTCAGCTCAGGAAGTTCAACCTGCCTTGGGAGCTGCTCATCATATTCTACACTGCAATCTTCCAGTCACTTCTCTGCACATCAATAACTATTTTGATCTGTAATCGAACAGGACAGACAGACTGCAGCAGACAATCAGGACTGCAGAGAAACTCATCAGGCCCTCCACCCAGAACTTATACTGGTCCAGGGTCAGGGAATGGGCAGGTAACATTCCTGCAGATCCCTTACAGCCCAGACACAAACTGTTGAAACTCATCATGCTCCATTAGATCACTGTACACCAAAACAACCAGACACAGGAATAGTTTCTTCCCCCAGGCCGTCACACCGATGAATACATAATAGTCACAGCATCAGAACTATCACTGTGAAAAAGTCATGTGACAGCCAATGTGAATGTAAATAACATTATTTACCTATCAATTAATATATTACTTAACTATTATGTATATTCATTCACAGTTAATCATGCTAATATAATTTCTTTATTTGATGCACAAATGTATGTAACTGAAAATACTGTAAAATTGATCTATCTCATGTAAATTAAACAATTTGCTCTGTTATTACATTATGTTTATTCCAACATCTTATTGTGTAATGTTGGCTTTACATCTTAGTTTAATGTTTAATGCTTGTAGATAGAGAGTAAAGTTAACCAGAGCCAAACTCATATGCTTGTATGTTTACACACACGTGGACAATAAAGCTGACTCTTTCTGAAGACCCTGATCATCATTCCCTGTTTTAAAACAAGAATTGTCTTTGTTCCCACAATGTCTATTACAGTACAGCATCATAAAACACACTGACAATCAAACAAATCAACCTTGGACAATAATATACATTTTTTTTAGATTGATCTTTTAGCACTTGCCTCTTTCTCTTTTTGATGACTGAGGGTGCTGTGGTGAGGCATCGCTACGGTTCTGCTGTGGTGAGGCATCGCTACGGTTCTGCTGTGGTGAGGCATCGCTACGGTTCTGCTGTGGTGAGGCATTGCTATGGCCCACATCTGATGCCTCGTTCTCCTCCCTCTGACTGGATGTGACCCGACTTTCTAAAAACCACAACAACAAAAAAAACAACAACAGAAAATATGAAATTCTAGTGTATTTATCCTACCCCAGTAAATGACTATGTCCCAGGCTCAACCTAATAATCAGTATCAGCATTCTAATGGACTGGTATTGTCAAAATTAGTCTTATCCCTCCGTGTGGCTGTTACTATGCTACTCCTTTCAACAAACTGAGTCCACAGTGGGAGCATTCCCCTCACCAAATGCTAGTACAAATTAGAGGACTGCAAGCTCTGAAGACACAAGTTCCACTAAGGGGAGGATGAGTTGCATTGAACTGTTTATCTTTAACTCATACAATATTAACATTTAGTAAACAAAAGAAACAGACTAAGTGACAGAAGTTATACTACATTAAAGGAGCCAAAAATATAAATGGGATATCCTTACACATAATGGATGTCTTCTAAATACATGAGCATGTTCACAATTCAACTCACATGAAAATACTTACCGTGTTTGTCTGGCTCCACCTCAGCATCGCTGTCAGGATGCACATTCTCTGTTAGGGGGTGGTAGTAAGGAGAATGACTCTGGTTTAAATTCATTTGATTCATGCATAAATAATGCATTTAGGAAAATGTATGAAATAAAAGTATTAATGTACATTTTTTATTTATGTAGAGACATTTGAAAAGAGATTTAAAAACAATAGTACCCTCAGGGTCAATGCTGATTTCATCGAGGGTCTTTCCCTTAAATTCTGCCAGGCGTCCTTTTTCCAGAGCCATGAGAACTTTGCTTATTTTAGCAAGTTGGAGGGTGCCCTCAGGAAGTCTGTAGAACTGCCGATGCACTCTTATATCATGGCCGAGAAAATCTGCTAACTGATCCAGCTCTGTATTACTGAGGTTGAGAACTTGAGATAGTGTTCCTGTTTGTTTGCGCAGTTTTGTCGAGGTTAGACTTTCAGGACTTGTTGCACCACAGACCTTGGCAAAATGTCTAAGGCTATCAGAACCACGGTAGCAGGTAAAAGCAGTTGGTCTTGCAAATAAGTACTTGTTCTCCTGAGGAACCCCACATTCATGCCGTTTGCTCACCAGCAGATCCAATGCTTGCTGCATTGCTGGGGTCAAAAGCACAGGAACTTTTCTTCCCCTTTTTCCTCTTGTCTCAATCCTTCTGAAGTGTTGGCAGAGTTTCTTTTCTAATGCAGACAGAGCTTCACTGACATCTTCCCGAGGGTCTGATACATTGTTAGCCAGATATGCAGACAGGGGAATTTTGGACACCTCCCCTGCTCTTCTTCGGTTGAACAAAATAACTTGTGTCAAAGTGATCTTTGCCAGCTGTGTCCATGTCTGCGGGGATGCCTCTGTCGATAATTTTGCGTGGATGTGCTTTTGTTGAACATCCAAAAAAGAATGCAAGGTCTGGACATCTTTTGTGAATGGAAGCAACAGAGGGGTATTCCACTTGGATTCCTGAAGAGTTCTTAGAGATGCAGCTGATATCATCTCGTTCCATCTGGCCTCATATACTCTGCGGAAGGTACGAGCATCTTTTGCCACACTGTAGTTGTTCTGTACATTGGCACGGCTTTCAACAAGAAGAGAAATCTTAGTCAAGCTATGTCCAATTTTGAGAGCAAGACTTGGGCACTTATAAGCATGTTTTTCACTGTCATAGCCTGCCACACATTTCACAGCTTGCACAACTTGCATAAAGTTCGCAGGTTTGATGTGGTCTTGAATAGTCTTTAAGGAAGTGGTTTTCCTTGAGCAGAGCAGAAGCCTTCCAAGCTCTCTACATTTCTGCCGAATGTACTCATGTTTGCCAGCATCATAACCAAGTCGGTTAAACAGATGCTCACCATACTCCATGATACAGGCATCAGATTTGACTGCAGAAGAAACTTCATCTTGTACCATATTGGTTATCAATCTCCAAAGTTCTTGTTTGACACCAGGTGGTGGTGGTGTAGTAAATGCACAGAGAGCCTGGACACGGGTTTTGCCTGGTTTGCCTGGAACATTAGGCTTGAACTTGCAGACGATCATGTGCCGCCAAAGAAGTTTCCTTGCATAAAACCCTTGACAATATGTACAATGCATGAAATCCTGTGCTTTGGAGTCCTGTCTTGGCTGCCTGCGAGGAACAAGATTTCCAACACCGGAATTTAATACTTCAACATTGTGTGCAAAGTTGCCTCTGTTTCTCAAATGTTCCAGATGCATTCGTCTTTCTTTTGAGCGTTTAGGAAAGGATAAAGCCTCTGCAACCTCTGTCGTATTGGGATGAGCCCGCTCCAAATGTCTTGCAATTTTAACAACTCCCAACTTACAGTAAAGACAAAACTGCTTTTTGTTGTATATTCTTGACCCGTTCTCCTTTTTACAGATGGTAGGTATGACGAGTGAATCATCAGAATCTCTATCTTCTGTAAGGAGTGAAGAGGCACTGTCAGGAAGATTCTGGTCCAGATCTGGAATTGAGTTTTCTAACAGGGAACCAGTGTCTCCTATTTCACTCAGTTTTGATGAGTTACCACTCCTAGTTGGTGTTGTAGCACAGGACACACTAGTTAAACGTTGCCTTTTACGTCTTGTACCACGGCTGCATCTCTTTCTTAAGGGTGAGCGTCCTCTATAAACCAACTGTTTGAAGAGGCACTTGCTTCTGTTGGGGAAAAAACACTATCTTCAATGTCATCCACATGCCTTTGAAGCAAACTGTCTCTCTGGCTCTCTCTCTGTTTGACGGGCCCAAGAACTTCACTGATGTCTGTACCATCAGAATCTTCACTGGTCTTTGGGATATATTCCTCTCCACTGTCAGCTGAGGTTGAGTCAAAAAGCTCATCCGAATCCAAATCAATCCAGTTTTTCATCTTGGGAAAATAAAATGTAATATAAATTCTTGTTGAAATATTTGCTTAACCTTTTTTTCATCTTGCTCAAAATTATTTGTTTCTTTACCTGTATGCTTTTGGTCCTCCTAAGCCTAGGGATAGGAACTTGGTGGTAACCCTTTTTGGAGAGGCTGAGTTCATAGTCAGAGGCAGAACTTGGACTTGATATCTAGAGTCCAAAAGAAATGTTTTTTTTCACTTCTATCAACAACAAAATAACACAATTGATGAAAAAGATACACACACAAAATGTACCAACTTCACAATACCTGAAAACATCTGTTAACATGAACAGGATTCCTAGATGGAGTCTGAGATTCATCAGAATCTGTGTAGTCGACAATGGAAATATTTACTCCAACTTTGTTCAGACCGGTTGCATCAGAGCCCTATTGAAATAATAGTGACATGATAAAAAGAAATGTGAAAAATACAAAGCTTTGTAGAGTGGCGGCATTTTACATGATTAGGTGACACATCATGTTGGTTATCAAGTCATTCATCAGTCTCTTACATTTGCACACTGTTTTTGTCTTGCCGGTTTTCTGCTCATATCACTTCTATACTTCATTTTATGCCTGTATGTCCCTCTTCTACTGAACAAGAACAAAAGAAGACAAAAGCACATAGCCCACTATGCTGGACAAAAAGGTCATTATTTCGGTAAAATCTAATTACATTGTGCATATTTTCATACATTTATTTTATAGTGCGAGGCATTGCTAAATCCCTATTCATGACACATTTTTTAATGGTCTGATGAATTTAGATAAACTGTGATTTGGTGTATTAAAAATATATTTCAAAAACATTAGAAATTAAGTGATTTCATGCATTTAATGAATGCAGTAAATTAGAATACACCAAACAGAAAAACCTCCAAATAAACTGGCACTGTATCTCACCCTCTAGAATGAGTGCCTTCTAGCATACCTCTCAAATCAGATGAACATAGATCGTAACCAAACAAATATGTACTTAATAATAATCAATAATGTTGATACTTCATCAATGGATCAATGAGGAGAGGCTTCAAGATCTAAAAGGAAGACCAGTAAACGGTTAAGAAACATAAATGAATACCTCAATCTGGGAGACAGAAGTGCTCTGAGGATCCTGCTCCGTGGTTCTGGAGATGTCAGCCTCAGCAGAGTCTGTCATAGGAGATTGGCCTCCATCCTGAAGAATATAATAGTTTAATTGTTGATGGAAATAATCACTGACATATCTCAGATGTAATACCATTAAGCAAATACAAATGAGAAAAATACTTCTTTATAGTTATTCAGTACATCATGTGTCATTAAGTTTGAATTCCCCTCCACTTTGATCCATTGTTTGTGTGTTAACTCTTAGAAGTACATCTTGGTTTGATTTAGATCAATGTACTCTGGCTGTAGGAAACTCCAGGTGTATATGATGTTGTAGTGTCCTCTCAGAGTGTTTCCTTAACTTAAACACACCTGTCAGGTGTATATGATGTTGTAGGGTCCTCTCAGAGTGTTTCCTTCACTTAAACACACCTGTCAGGTGTATATGATGTTGTAGGGTCCTCTCAGAGTGTTTCCTTCACTTAAACACACCTGTCAGGTGTATATGATGTTGTGGGGTCATCTCAGAGTGTTTCATTGGGTGTTACCCCTCCCCCACTTACACACCTGTCATGTGTCCTGTTTTGTGGGGTCCACGATTAGTGAATTATATTGATATCATTTAATGACACTTTATTTAGTGCAGTGGAAAACAGATGAAGCCAGAGTTCAAGAACTAGTGTCACTCATGGTGTTCAATTAAAATGTTGGTCAGAAAGAATAAACTAAGTGTCATTAAATGTTTATATAATAATAAAGTAACCGTGGACCCCACAAAAACAAGATACCTGACAGGTGTGTGTGTGAAATGGAGAGTACTTATCTACTAAACCAGCACCCTGACAGGACCCCAAAACCTCAAAAACCTGAATGTGCCTGCTAGCACACCTATGACCTATGACCTCAGACTGACACTGATTTTAATCAAATCTAAATTTAATCTAAAGCGTTAACACTAAAACAATGGATCAATGAGGAGAGGCTTCAACATCTAAAGGAAGACACAAGAAACATAAATGAATACCTCAATCTGGGAGACAGAAGTGCTCTGAGGATCCTGCTCCGTGGTTCTGGAGATGCAGCCTCAGCAAGTCTGTCATAGGAGATGGCTTCCATCCTGAAGAACATAATTAACCATCATTACTGATTGTTGATCAGTATTCAACTGATTCAACAAAAAATTACAACAAAATCTTTAAAAACATACTTATTGTAGAACACCCTGAAGCCTTTAGTTTTCATTTTCCATCTATGACCCAAGACTGACACTGATTTTAACCAAATATCAATCTAAAGTGTTAACATTAAAACAATGGATCAATGAGGAGGGGCTTCAAAAACTAAAGGAGGGACACACTGAAGACCAGAAAAAGTTCAGAAACATAAATGAATACCTCAATCTGGGAGACAGAAGTGCTCTGAGGATCCTGCTCCGTGGTTCTGGAGATGTCAGCCTCAGCAGAGTCTGTCATAGGAGATTGGCCTCCATCCTGAAGAATATAATTAACCATCATTACTGATTGTTGTTGATTTAGATTCAACAAGCAACATTACAACAAAATCTTTAAAAACATACTTATTGTAGAACACCCTGAAGCCTTTAGTTTTCATTTTCCATCTATGACCCAACACTGACACTGATTTTAACCAAATATCAATCTAAAGTGTTAACATTAAAACAATGGATCAATGAGGAGGGGCTTCAAAAACTAAAGGAGGGACACACTGAAGACCAGAAAAAGTTCAGAAACATAAATGAATACCTCAATCTGGGAGACAGAAGTGCTCTGAGGATCCTGCTCCGTGGTTCTGGAGATGTCAGCCTCAGCAGAATTTTTCACGGTAAATTTGCTTCCATCCTGAAGAAAAATTCAGTGTAATTGTTCAGTTGTAATCAACAGAATAACACCTGGGTGTGCTACTCAATTTAGACTAACCTGTTTCCTCCAAGGCCAATCTGCTTGTCCATAATCATATGTTATCTCTTCCCAGCATTGATGTCCATCATAGCAAAGAGAAAGAGGTACGGCTTGCCTTCTGCTATGATCTTCTTCATTTTACAGTTCGGGTGCTTGTCGTCATCATTGACTAGTCTTCCTAGACTGCCATCTTCTCGAGCTGCATCAACACTTCAAAAATATATTAAATCAATTATTAGACTTCATAAAATCAAATATCTGATAGAATTAAAAATAATAATAATCCACCAATCATTTAAGAGAGAGCTTCAATAAAGATCATTTAGTTTTTTTTGTAACACAGCTCAAAGCTTTCATTCAAGTGACCATCACAGAGGGCTGGAGGACAAAAAGTGCTGAGGGAAGTAGGGTCCACCATTGAACACTGTAGAACTGCAGAACAGAAAATACTTAGATCAAGTGAACACAATATTTGATGTCAGGATGAGAAGTCTGTTCCCACGAGGACAGCAGAGTGTCAAACAGCATTAATCCACGATCTCCTCCTCTCTGGGTTTTCTATCAAACATTACATTCTGTAGAAGAACAACCCTGGCTTATCTCCTTGTCAGTTAGTTCATCATCCAACAACTACTGACTTTGATTGAAATATTCAAAGAAGACTGATATTAGCATGTGGATAGC